TTTACAAAACCAGTTGCACATTGTTAGATCCTCTTACTCTATCCTTTTTTTTTTCCTTTTTTTTTTGTTACTCCAACCTTTGGGCTTTCTGTGCCTCTCTCAAGATATTTATTTTTGTCTTCCAATTCCATAATTCTCTCTTGGGTCATTTGTAATCTGCTGGTAAATCCGTTCGTTGTGGTTAATTTTTGGTTATTTTTTAGCTGAAAAATTTCCACTTGGTTCTTTGTAATAGTTTCTAGTTCTCTGCTGACATTCTCAATCTTATATTTTATTTTCTTGAGCATATTAAGCATATTTTAAGTTGCAGTCTGATAACTAATTTTTCTGGATCTCTTGTTGATCTGTTTTTCTTTGTTTTTGTTTCTGTTTTGGCGATACGCGGGCCTCTCACTGTTGTGGCCTCTCCCATTACGGAGCACAGGCTCTGGATGCGCAGGCTCAGCGCCCATGGCTCACGGGCCCAGCCGCTCCGTGGCATGTAGGATCTTCCCGGACTGGGGCACGAACCTGTGTCCCCTGCATCGGCAGGCGGACTCGCAACCACTGCGCCACCAGGGAAGCCCTGTTGATCTGTTTTTATTTCCTGTGTTTCTCTTGTGTTTTGATCCCAATGGTCTTTTTTTCCTATATACCTGGTCGATTTTCATTAAATGTCAGATTTTGTATGTAAGAATTTTAGAAATAATTTGAAACCTTAGATGAAAATATTTTCTTCAGACAAGATTTATGATTGTTTCTAGTGGGCACTAGCAATTCTGGATCAACTTAATTTAGACAGGATTTGGGATGATTCAGATTTAAGCCTAAGTTCTTAGTTTGCTGTCTTAGTCCATTTGGGCTGGTATAACAAAATACCATAGACTGGGTGGCTTATAATAATAGAAGTTTATTTCTCATACTTCTGAAGGCTGGGAAATCCCAGATCAAGGAGCCAGCAGATTCGGTGTCTGGTGAGGGTCCCCTTTCTGTTCATAGAATGCCATTGTCTCTCTGTGTTCTCACGTGGCAGAAAGGGCAAGGAAGTTATCTGGGGTCTTTTGGGCACCAGTGGCACTAATGGGCACTAAGCTCTTCAGTGAAGGCTTTGCCCTAATAACCGCCGAAAAGCCCTAACTCTGAATATCACATTGGGGGTTATGATTTCAACATATGAATTTTGAGGGGATACAGATATTCAGTATATAGCATTGGTTATCTATTTTTAGTTTACTCTCTTTTTTAAACTTTTTTTAAATTAGAGTATAGTTGCTTTACAATATTGTGCTAGTTTATACTATACAGCAAAGTGGATCAGCTATATGTACACATATTTCCCCTCTCTTTTGGATTTCCTTTTCATTTAGGTCACCATAGAGCACTGAGTAGAGTTCCCTGTGCGATACAGTAGGTTCATATTAGTTATCTATTTTATACATAGTGTCAATAGTGTATATATGTCAATCCCAATCTCCCAATTCATCCCACATCCCCCTTTCTCCCTTGGTATCCATATGTTTGTTCTCTACGTCTGTGTCTCTATTTCTGCTTTGTAAATAAGGTTGTCTATACCAATTTTTTCAGATTCCACATATATGCATTAATATATGATATTTGTTTTTCTCTTTCTGACTTACTTCACTCTGTATGACAGTCTCTAGGTCCATCCATGTCTCTACAAATGACCCAATTTCATTCCTTTTTATGGCTAATATTCCATTGTATATATGTACCACATCTTCTTTATCCATTCCTCTGTCACTGGATATTTAGGTTGCTTCCATGTCCTGGCTATTGTAAATAGTGCTGTAATGAACATTGGGGTGCATGTGTCTTTTTGAATTGGTTTACCTTTTCAAGATTCAGTCCTATAGCCTAGCCATTTTATCAGGCCATTTTCTCTTACCTGCAGACCTCCCTTCTCATCTCTTCCCAAGGTCATGATACTCCAGTTTTTGTATGAGCTTATCAAAAGCTGTACTCAGCTTCTTAGCCTCTTAGCTACCTCTGTCAGAACTGTCAGATACCCAAAAGGAAAAGTAACCTCAAATACCAGGCTTATCTCTGTGTTTACTTCTGTTTTTTAAAATAATACAGATAATTTTTAAAAAATTTTATATATATATTTTTGGCTGGGTTTGATCTTCGTTGCTGCGTGTGGGCTTTCTCTAGTTGTGGCGAGCGGGGGCTGCTCTTCATTGCGGTGCACGGGCTTCTTATTGCAGTGGCTTCTCTTGTTGCGGAGCATGGGCTCTGGGCACACGGGCTTCAGTAGTTGCAGCACACATGCTCAGTAGTTGTGGCATGTGGGCCCTACAGTGCGTGGGCTTCAGTAGTTGCAGTACGTGGACTCAGTAGTTGTGGCTCATGGGCTTAGTTGCCCCGTGGCATGTGGGATCTTCCCAGACCAGGGATCGAACCCTTGTCCCCTGCATTGGCAGGCAGATTCTTAACCACTGAGTCACCAGGGAAGTCCTGTGTTTACTTCATATAACAAGTCTGAGTTTCAGACTTGTAATTTTTTTACTACCTTGTTAGGTTTCTCCTGCCTTCAAGCAGATTTTTTAGTTATCTACCTTTTCAAGTCGATTTTAGCAGGAGGTTTGTTTTTGAACCTTCTAATCTCTCAGATTACCCTGCTATGTTCCATTTACAGCCTTCATACATCCTGTTCCTCCTGCTTGAAAACCTCTAGTTTCCCACCCCACTAACTCCTAGTTTACACCTATTCATGCTATGGGTCAAGTCCTGAAGAGCTCCTCCTCAGCCTTCACTGACCCCCTGACAAGATTATCTTGTTATACTTTCTTATAGCACTACCTGAATGCCTTTATTGTACTTGTAGTTTATAATTATATATTTATTTGTGTCTTTATTTCATTTAATATTTGCCTTTTCAACACAATGTCAGGTGCTTGAGGAATAGGACTGTTATCAGTTTTTTTTTCTTCTTACAGACCCGAATGATAAGCTACAAGGAATATTTAACATTTCCTCAAAAACTGGACATATAAGTATTCGGTTAAATGACTGAGATTTCCCTTGGATGAAAATAGCAGAATTTAAAGAAAGAAAAAGATTATATTCATGGGTTCTTAGAAGGTAGAAAGGGCATAATTTATATTTTATTTTTATTTAAAAATTTTATCATAAAGTACTTCAGACATATTAAAAGTGTGAGTTTTGTAATATACCTAGCTGTACTCACCACTCTGCTTAAGAAATAGACATAATTTATTTTTATAAAAATATACAGAGAGCCCAGAAATATATCTCTATAAATATAGTCAACTGATCTTTGACAAAGGAGCAAAGGCAATACAATAGAACAAAGATAGTTTCTTCAGTAAATGGTGCTAGAACAATTAGACATCCACATGCAAAAAACAAAAAAAAAGTGAATCCAGATACAGACCATACACCCTTCACAAAAATTAACTCTAAATGGATCATAGACCTAACTGGAAAATGCAAAACTGTAAAACTCCTAGAAGATAGCATAGGAGAAAACCTAGATGATCTTGGGTATGGTGATGCCTTTTTCGATACAACACCAAAGACACCATAGTGTCGTCTTTGAAAGAAACTGTGAAAAAAATAATTGATAAGCTGGATTGCAGTTAAGTTAAAAACTTTTGTTCTGTGAAAGACAAAATCAAGAGAATTAGAAGACCAGCCACAGGTTGGAAAAAAAGTATTTGCAAAATCACATCTGATAAAGGACTATTATCTAAAATATGAAAAGAACTCTTAAAATTCAACCATAAGAAAACAAACAGCCCTTTTAAAAAACGGGCTAAAGACCTTAACAGACACCTCACCAAAGAAGATATACAGATGGCAAATAAGCACACGAAAAGATACTTCACATCATGTGTCTCTAGGGAAACGCAAATTAAAACGAGATACCTGTACATTCCTAGAATTGCCACAGTCTGGAGCAGTGACAGAATCAAATGCTGGTGAGGATGCAGAGCAACAGGAACTCTCACTTATTGCTGGCAGGAATGCGAAATGGCACAGCCGCCTTGGAAGGCAGTTTGGCGGTTTCTTCCAAAACTGAACATACTCTTTCCATATGATCCAGCAATACTGCTCTTTGGTATTTATGCAAAGAGTTGAAAATTTATGTCTACACAAAAACCTGCACGTGGATGTTTATAGCAGCTCTGTTCATAATTGCCAAAACTTGGAAGCAACCAATGTCTTTCAGTAGGTAAATGGATAAATAAACTGTGGAATAACCAGACAATGGAATATTATTCAGCACCTAAAAGAAATGAGCTATCAAGCCATAAAAACACATGGAGGAACCTTAAATGCATATTACTGAGTGAAAGAAGCCAATCTGAAAAGGCTATATATACTGTATGATTTCAAGTATATGACATTCTGGAGAAGGCAAAACTCTGGAGACAATAAAAAGACAGTGATTGTGGTGGGCGGAGGGTGGGTTGTGGGGAGGAGAGAGATAAGTAACCAGAGAACAGAGGAGCAGGGCAGTGAAAATACTTTGTATGATATTATAAAGATGGATAATGTCATTATACATTCGTCTAAACCTACAGAATGTCCATCACCAAGAGTGAACCCTAAGGTAAACTGTGGACTTTGGGTGATTACGATGTGTCAGTGTAAGTTCATCCTTGGTAAAAAATGTACCATTCCTGTGAATGATGTTGATAGTGGGGAGGCTATGCATGTTTTGGGGGGCAGGGTATATAGGGGAAATCTCCGTACCTCTCTCTCAATTTTGTTGTCAACGTAAATAAAACTGCTCTAAAAAAATAAAGTCTTTAAAAAATCAGAAAAAAACCTAGAAAGATTAATTTCTACCAGAGATTAATAAATCCACAAGATACATAGCAACCAGAAAATATACACAGTATATACTAAGATACAAGCATATATGTAGTCTACTGAGCAATTACTTTGGCTTTTAGGTACTTCTGTGGTAAAGTAATTAGTTATTGTTTATTATAAATTTGTTTATTTAAGGAAATTTTTCTTTAAACTTTCAGATGATACAGCATTGTTTGAGTTGATTCAGCTAGTTCCGCCAGGTACTGTATTGTGTTTTGATAAGGTAATTGACATGTGAACTCATTTCAATGAAATGCTTTTTAAAAAATCTCATCTTTTCCCCTTCTTCCCAAAGTAAGAGCAATGCTGAGTCTCTAGCATTGGTCTACTATGTGTAAAATGTCAGTAGGCCAAAATAATATATACAGAAAGATTGACATAAATTATATTTGAACACATTGTTCTAAAATTGAATAGTCATAATTTAAAGTGGGAAATAACCCGATATGATCCTAGCATATTTTGTGACATTCATAAAAATTAACTTCTTTAAGTTTTTGTGATTTTTCTAAACCAATATGCTTTTGCTGATAAAGTAGTTCATTATCTTTGTTTTTGTGTATTGACTGTTATTGGGAATATAGGGGAATTAAAACTGTACCTACTTAATAAACAGTACAGATCCCTGCAGTAGGTAGAGTTAAAACCTGAAGAATAGTTTTATTTTTATTATTGATTTCTATGATTATAGAAGACTCTATCTTAAATCCTTATTTTATGTGAGAAATAGAGAACTATATTTTATTGAAAGCTAGTAGTCTCAACTTTTTGAATATCACATATATACCTAATCCAGGTAACCACAAATTCTATAAAATGTCTATATTTTTTTCAATATGTAACCTAATATCTCATAATGGCAGGTAGAAAAGAATGGAAGATAGAAAAAAGAATTCTGGGGATGGTAATTAAGTTTTATATGTATAAATGTTATGTCAGTTTGATACGTTTAAAAGGATTTTCTTTTCTAGGAACTCATATGTACTTAAAAAGTTTACATGAACATCCCCTTTCTACAAAAGGGGGAGGGAGAATTAGTAGTATGTATGACATTTCTGAATAAGGAAATGTGTTAATTCGTTTAACATAACTTTATTTTAATTTCCCTTTCATAGAAAAAAATTAAGTCCATGACCCTGAAGCAAGTATTTCATTAAGGCATCAGGCATTATATATTCGTACTTGATGATATTGTTTCTAAATAGCATATTTTGTTATAATTTGAATCATAGGATATCTTTCTTGTAGTGGGTGAAACACTGTCTACATATGATGAGAATACACGAGATTTCATGTTCCCGGGTCCAAATCAGATTTCTGGACACCATGACTCAAACCGCCAGGCTACCATGAGGAAGATTTCTGGCCTTCACGTAAGTGCTTACTATTTTCTGAATCAAATCGTGATGCGGGATCATTGTCAAAAACCAACACATAGCCCTCAATATCTGAAATGTGAAGACCTAATTCAAAGTTTAATTTATTTTAAAACATAATTGCTTTATGAAATTATGATGTTATTTTAAACATACTGAAATCTAAATGAAAATACTTTACCAAAATGCACGCATCTACCTTCCAAAATTAACAAGCATTATTTTGCCTTATATTCTTCAGATTTCTCTCCTCTTCTTCTCCCCCTTTCCTCCCCTCCCCACTGTCCCTATGTCTTTGTCTCTCTTCTCTTTATTTTTCTCCCACAAGAATGGCCAATAAATATTTGAAAACGTGCACAATCCCATTAGCATTTAGGAAAATTCAAATTAAAACAATCATATGATTTCATTTTTATAGCCATAAGAGTGGTAAAATTTAATAAATCTGACAAATGTCAAAAGCATGGAAAAATGGAAGCTTGTATATGTTGCTATGTCACGTAAATCGGAACAACCACAATTCAGGATTATCTAGTGAAGGCCAAGATTCTCATAGCCTGTGACCTTCTAGGTATATAGCTTTAAGATGTATTCTGTCTGGCATACTAAGAGCCTTCTTAGGAATGTTCGTTTGTAGCATTGTTCATAATAATGAAAAATGGAAATAATTGAAATGTCCATTAGTAGGAGTTTGGATAGAATAATTATTACATGTTCATGTAATGGAAATACGTATTCATACCCCTAAAAGTGAAAGCGGCATTAAGTGATAGCCAACTCTCATCTTTTCCTGCAATTTCTTCAGTTTTATTGGATAATTAATAATATTTTTATTCCTATTATTAAAATATTTATTAAAATAAATAAATATATTTTTATTCCTATTATTAATTATTTTTTATTCCTATTATTAATAATTTTTTATTCCTAAATAAATAAATAATATTTTTATTCCTATTATTAAAATATTTATTAAAATAAATAAATATATTTATTTATTTTAAAAATAAAAATAATATTTTTATTCTAGGCAGAAAATGCCTTCTGCCTAGAGAGACTGAGTGAAGCCCCTGCTGTTTCAAAGAAGAAAAAAGTAAAAGTTGTCTAGGTTGAAATTATTTGGACAAATATTTTTCACTAACTTTAGGAGATATTAGAGCAGTAAGGAAATTGGAGTGCTACATGAGCCAATATGGTGAATTAAGTAACTTCTCCTGTATTTCCTGTAGGAAATAGCAAATTTCAGCTTGCTGAAAGTATAAAAGTTGACTAGCAAATCTATTAAAATATACCTCCTTTGGGATATTTTCAGTGTCCATTAGCCCAAAAAGTCTTCCAAGAATGTTTCAGGGACTTTCTAGAAGCCTGCAATGAAAAAAATTCTGATTTTAAAATTAAAAGTTTTTTAAAAGTAATTTAAAATGCTGTATTATACCAAATTGGCAATATAAACATAAGAATATGGACCATTAACAGGTAGTTTTCCTTATTGAATTTGAGTTACTTTCACATATATCAAAAAGTTTGGATTACTAAGGCAAAAAGTCTATATATGTTCTTAAAAGATAAATTGGGGCATGTTAAAAATTTTGAGTTTATTTGAACAAAAATTGATTTGATTCAAGCAGCATCCAATCTAGCAGATAGAAAGAAGCTCCAAAGAGCTGTGCAAAATGAAAGATTTTTATATCCAGAAGGGAGCAGGAACAAGGACATTATACTAGGCCAAAAAGTGTGTTGATTATTGCAAGGTTCTTTTCATTTAGGGGATGGCAGAGGGTCTAATCAGATGGATTACCTAGTGAGTGCTAATCAGGCGATTCCTGATTGACTGGTTTAAAATTCCATTTCTGGGAGAGCCGAAACTGTAATTAATTTAAATCTGTTTGGTGACACGGGGCTTAGCGTAAGCAACTCAATTTGGGGCCTGTTGTTTTTAACAATATAAAAAGTGAGACTTCTGGTGATGATGGTGTGAAGGGTCTGTCAATTACTCTCTCCACACAAGTATAAAACTGGACAAAATTGTCACAAGCCGCAGTTTTAGGGCACTGGAAACTGATCGGCAGTTAAGACAATTAAGACAAATTAAGAAGTATCCGTGCTTGAATAGCTGCTAAAACTTTGGGTAAAAATGGCAGAAGTATGTGGTCATCTTGCCTAGGACAGCTCTCATACCCTGCATAGCCAGTGAGAATTGTAGCTTCACTAAGCCTGGGGCAAGTTGCAAAAATTAGTAGCTTTGCTACCAGAGAGGTCAGAATCAATTTTGGGCAGTGATACTGTGATTTGTAATAAGAAACATACATTTGGTCTTCTTGCCCCATTCTTGGCACAGAGCTTATAAAACCTTTGGAATTTCCTGGGTTTAAGAGCTATAAAGGTGTCTTTTCTTATGTTAATGAGGAGACTTTTGGAAAGCTCCTTGGGAACCTAAGGATGGGGGCTTGATGCCAGGGGAACCAACCAGGTGATTAGAGGGTTGGAACTTTCAGCCCCACCCCTGAGAAATAGAGGGGCTGGAGATTGAGTTCAGTCACCAATGGCCAGTGATTTAATGTCACGCCTGTGTAATGAAGCGGGTATAAAACCCAAAGGATGGGGTTTGGAGAGCTTCCATGTTGGTGAACACGTGGAGGTACTGGGAGAGTGGCTCACCTGGTGAGGGCACAGAAACTTCTCCCTGTTTCCCACATATCTCACCCTAGACATCTCTTCCAACTGGATGTCATCATATCCTTTTATATAAACTGGTAAACTAAGTAAACTGTCTCCTGAGTTCTTTGAGCAGCTGTGGCAAATTGATCGAACCCAAGGAAGGGGTCATGGGAACCTCTTATTTGTAGCCTGTGGGTGACAACCTGGACTTGTGATGAGCATCTGAAGTCAGATAGGAGCAGTCTTGTGGAACTGAGCCCTTGACCTGTGGGATCTGACACTTTCTCCAGGTAGTGTCAGAGCTGAGTTAAATTTCAGGACACCCAAATGGTGTCGCAGAGACTTTTCTTGGTGGTGTTGGAAAACCCACACATTGGAATTGGTGTCACAATCATAGGGGCAAATATTGTGTCTTTGCCAGCTAAATGTGGTGGGTTCAGTTAGAAGCACATGAGAAAAACCCACAGCTTTGCTAGGCCGATTGCAGTTCCAATCAGAGTGAGCAGCACACCTGCCAGAAAGTTGACAGGAGGCCCTGGAAGTAAGGGAGCAATAAAAGGGCTGAGATGAGCTTTCCACTCATTCCTGGCTGACTGAAACTATGCACGTTCAGGGGAGACAGTGTGAGTCCAGCAAAAAGTGAAAGCCAAGGGAGACTAGAGACCTGCTGTTCCTTTGAGTGCATTCCCCAACCCACACACAGATAATCAACAAAGAGTGGAACCCTTACAGGTTCATTGGATGACCACTAAGCTATGCATACTCAGATGAGACCACTAGAACGAATACAAGAATAAAAAGACATGGCATATATATAAATTGAACAACAAAATAGCAGTTGTAAATTCAGTCATATCAGTTATTGTATTTAGATGTGAGTGGAGAACACACTCCAATCAGTAGTTTGCTGTCCTGGCAGGCAACAGTGCACCTTTCCTCAGAATTCTGATGATTCTGCATAGACATCTGAGTCTTAGGCTGACTTCCTGAACCCATCACTGTGGCAAGGATTCAAGTCACATCTGGGGTTAAATCCTGGCACTATCACAGGCTGCTACTATCACTATACCATGGAGATAACGTTGTTTGGTGGATTAATAAAAACTTGTAAATGGTTATTTTAGTACCTGGTACATAGAGAATGATCAGTAAATGTTAGTGATACAATGGTGGCCATGGAGATCATGACAAGGTGCTGTTGTTGGTGGCAGTGATATTAATCAGAATCTGTGACTTTCTCATCGTTGATCTTACCTCTTAGCACATATCTTTGTATGTACTTAAATGACTTGGTTGAATTGAATAAATTACATCTTATTGTAGACTTCATAGAGGAAACTGACATTTCCGATGTGTGATGATTAAATTTATTTTGGTTAGGTTGTGGCTAGGTGTTACTCTGAAGGTATTGTGTAGATTTGACTACTATTTACAATCACTTGACTTTACGTGTAGGAGATTACCCTTGATAATGTAGGTAAGACCTCATCCAATTAATTGAAGACCTGAAGAGCAAAAACTGAAGTTTCCAAAAGAATATGGAATTCTGCCTCAAGACCGTAATATAGAAATCCTGAGTTTCCAGCCTGCTGGCTTGCTTACATATTTCACACTCAAGACTACAGTATCAACTTTGCCTGAGTTTCCAGCCTGCCAGCTTTCCCTGTGGATTTTGGACTTGTCACTCTCACAATTGCATGTACCAATTCCTTAAAATAAATATCTCTCTGTGTATATATTCTGTTAGTTCTGTTTCCCTGAAACCCCAATTGATACACATGGGTTTTGAAAGATCTAAAAATAATGGCTAAAACACTGAGTATTTACTATATGACCAGCAATATATTAGGAGGGGTAAAGTGATAAGTTGCAGTCTAGGCTGTGGTACTTACAAAATATGTCCCCAAATGATTTGACACTCCTCTCTTCCAAAGGCAGAGTTTCTTAAGTATGGACTCTACTTAGTGACTCTAACAGATACACTGCGGTGAAGTGATAGTTTTAGACTTTTGAGACCAGGTCATTAAATGCACTGTGGCTTCCTCCTTGCTCTCACTCTTATATCACTCACTCCTGGGGAAGCCAACTGCCATGTTTGAGGACACTCAAGCCTCTGGAGAGGGCCGAAGCTGGGACAGCTTTGCTGGGGTGTGTATGAAAGCTTGAAGAGCCTTGAAGAAACTGCCAGATGAGTGTTTGGAAGAAAATGAGGCAAATTTTATTGGAAATTAGGGGAGAAAAGAGCCCTTGTTATGTAATGGTGTAAAGTTTAGCTGGAATGTGGGATATAGAAAAAAATACCTGATGGAATGGGTGGTCTTTGTAAGGAGACTTTCAGACACAGTATTAGAGGGGCTGTCTGGTTTCTTTTTGCTGCTTATAGCAAAATATAAGGGGAGAGAGAAGCAAAAGGAAAGCCTGTTAATAACACAAAAAGGAGTTGGAACTTACTGTTTTTGAGGATTCTCAGCCTTCCCCAATGGCAGATAATGTTGAAATTAAGGAATGACTTATGAGCAAAAATCATTCTAGGGTATGTTCAGGAAATGTTGGTCTGATGTGAAACCAAGGGGGTGTGACTGTAAAATCCTTTATTAAAACCTCCAAAAGATCCAAGATGTTGCCTCAGAAAATAATTTAATTAAACGTACGTTTTATTTTACTTTATTTTTTACATTTAAAAATTGTTTAATTAAAAATATTTTTCATACAATTTTTATAATTGAAGTATAGTTGATTTACAACATTGTGTTAGTTTCAGGTGTACAGCAATGTGATTTAGTTATATATCTACATTTATATATACATATATCTATTTCAGATTCTTTTCCATTATAGGTTATTACAAGATATTGAATATAGTTCCGTGTGATATACAGTAGGTCCTTGTTGTTTATCTATTATATGTATAGTAGTGTGTATCTGCTAATCCCAAACTCCTAATTTGGGAGTTCTGACCAGTGTGAGGTGATACCTCATTGTAGTTTTGATTTGCATTTCTCTAATAATTAGTCATATTGAGCATATTTTCATGTGCCTGATGGCCATCTGTATGTCATCTTTGGATGACATACAGATGGCAGTTTAAGTCTGTTTAGGTCTTCTGCCAGTTTTTTGACGGGGTTGTTTGTTTTTTGATATTGAGCTATATTGAGCTGTATGAGCCCTTGTTGGTCACATTGTTTGCAAATGTTTTATCCCATTCTGTACATTGTCTTTTCATTTGTTTATGGTTTCCTTTGCCATACAAAAGCTTTTAAGTTTAATTGGGTCCCATTTGTTTATTTTTGCCTTTATTTCCATTACTCTAGGAGATGGATCCAAAAAAATAATTGCTGTGATTTATGTAAGAGTGTTCTGCCTATGTTTTTCCTATAGGAGTTTTACAGTATCTGGTCTTACATTTAGGTCTTTAATCCATTTTGAGTTTATTTTTGTACATGGTGTTAGAGAATGTTATATATTCATTCTTTTACATGTAGCTGTCCAATTTTCCTAGCACCACTTATTGAAGACACTCTTTTCTCCATTGTATATTTTTGACTCCTTTGTCATAGATTAATTGACCTTGAGTGCATGGGTTTATTTCTGGGCTTTCTATCCTGTTCCATTGATCTATATGTCTGTTTTTATGCCAGTATCATACTGTACTGATTACTGTAGCTTTGTAGTATAGTCAGAAGTCAGAGAGTGTGATTCCTCCAGCTCCATTCTTCTTTCTCAAGATTGTTTTGGTTATTCTGGGTCTTTTGTGTTTCCATACAAATTTTAAAATTACTTGTTATGTAGTTCTGTGAAAAATGCCAATGGTAATTTGATAGGGATTGCATCAAATCTGTAGATTGCCTGGGTAGTATGGTCATTTTAACAATATTGATTCTTCCAGTCCAAGAACATGGTATATATTTCCATCTGTTTGTGTTGTCTTCAATTTCTTTCAAGAGTGTTTTATAGTTTTCAGAGTACAGGTCTTTTGCCTCCTTAGGTAAGTTTTATTCCTAGGTGTTTTATTCTTTTTGATGCAATGGTAAATGGGATTGGTTCCTTAATTTCCCTCTCTGATAGTTTGTTGTTCATGTATAGAAATGCATCAGATTTTTGTATATTAATTTTGTATCCTGCAACTTTACCAGATTTATTGGTGGGCTCTAGTAGTTTTCTGGTGTGTCTTTAAGATTTTCTATGTATAGTATCATGTTATCTGCAAATAGTGAGAGTTTTACTTCTTCCTTCCAATTTTATTTGTTTTTATTTGTTTTTTTTAATTTTTTTTGTTTGTTTTTCTTCTTTTTTTTGTTTTGTTTGTTTTTCTTCTTCTTTTATTTGTTTTTCTTCTCTGATTGCTGTGGCTAGGACTTCCAAAACTATGTTGAATAAAAGTGATGAGAATGGGCATCCTTGTCTTATTCCTGATCTTAAGGGGAATGCTTTCAGCATTCCTTTTCACTGTTGAGGATGATGTTAGCTGTGGGTTTGTCATATATGACCTTTATTATGTCGAGGTATGTTCCCTCTATACCCACTTTCTGGCAGAGTTTTTATCATAAAAAGATGTAGAATTTTATCACATTTTTAAAGGTTACTTTCCACTTACAGTTATTACAAAATATTGGATATATTCCCCATGTTGTATAATACAGCCTTGAGCCTATCTTACACCTAGTAGTTTGTACTTCCCACTTCCCCACCCCTATATTGGCCCTTCCCCCTTTCCATGGTAACCACTAGTTTATTCTCTGTATCTGTGAGTCTGCTTCTTTTTTTGTTACATTTACTAATTTGTTGTATTTTTTTAGATTCCACATATAAGTGATATCATACAATATTTGTCTTTCTCTGTCTGACTTATTTCACTTAGCATAATGCCCTACAAGTCCATCCATGTTGCTGCTAATAACAAAGTTTTGTTCTTTTTTATGGCTGAGTAGTAGTCTATTGTGTGTGTGTGTGTGTGTGTATATATATATATATGTATATGCCACATGTTTTTTGTCCATTCATCTGTTGATGGACCCTTAGGTTGCTTCCAAATCTTGGCAGTTGTAAATAATGCTGCTTAAACATATGTTCTTGAAGATGATTGAAGACCAGCAGAAGCCCTGTACAGGTGGGTGTGGCTTTTGTCTAAGGAAGTGAACTCCAATTACGTTCACATGAGAACAAAATACATTTTTAAGAGCATTATATTGGTAGAAACACCACCAGCATGGTCTGAAATTGAGAGAGACCTTACAAAATGAAAAGGCTTTTGGACCCCCAAAATTCTATTGACAGGACCCAGGCTCAGAACACTGTATAGCTCGAAACATTGTCTACCTCTTGTTGCAAAGGAATGATAATTCAAAGGATGGAAGCAAGAGCCCAGAGAGTGGAGCCAAAAACTATGGATAGTTATTTCTGAGCAGAAATAGGACTAAACTTCTAAGTGAGAAACTTCTAACATTTTCCTGGCTGATTTCAGAATTGCTGTGGACCAGTGATTTCTATTTGCCTCTTGTATTCTCTTTTTTTGAATAGGAATGTCTATAGTGATTATCCTCTGCCTGCTGCATATGTGTACCTTGAATATATGTGGGGCACATGTTTCTTTAGTTCATAGGTCTTCTAATTGTGAGGAACTGTATCCTAGAAACTGTATTTAAAGAACCATACCTGAGACAGCTGAGTAACAGTTTGATTTAGATGCCAATATCCTGGATTTCAAGCTGAAGTTATAAAAGGATGAGACTTTTCCCCTTTCCTTTCCTTTTCCTTTTTCTTCAGTAGGGCATGAGTTTAGTTTACACATGAGAGGAATTTAATTTGTGGTCAGAGAGTGAATTGTGGTGGTTTAAAAACATGTCCCCCAAATTTTTGATGCTCCTCTGCTAAAAAGGTAGTTTCCTTTGTTCTAGAATGTGGGCTGTGCTTAAGGGCTCTAATGAATAGAATGTGACAGCAGTGACAGTGTTAGACTTCTGAAACTAAGTCATAAAAAGGATTATGTCTTCCTCCTTGCTTTGCTTTGAGAGAACTGGTTACCATGTCATGAGGACACTCAGGCAGTCCTATCGAGAAAGAGCTGAGTTCTCTTGCTAAAAGATAGAAAAGAACTGAGTCCTCCAGCCAACAACTGTGTGAATCTCAGGAAGCAGATCCTCCAGCCTCAGTCAAGCTTTCAGAAAACTACAGCCCAAACAGCATCTTGACTGCAATCTCATGAGAGATTTCAAGCCAGAACCAACTAGTTCAGCCTCTGCCAGATTGCTGACCTTTAGGAACTATGTGAGATAGTATGTACTTATGTTGTAAACTGCTAAGTGATATGCTATGCAGCAATGGATAACTAACAAGTAAGCATTATCAATAAAAGTATGTTTGCAGAAAAAAAGTCATCCATTTAATCCATAGGTAACTCATATTTAACCTTTTTGTAGTGTGTAATATTTGAAACTTTAAAGTTAGTAGGTCAAAGACTGGGTAAGATATCTGACCTCCAATATATTAGAGTGAAGCTGCCCTGGGTACAGACAATATACTGTATCTTTTAGTGTTTTGGTGAATATGTAACTTGTGTGCTTCCAAATATTTTCTCAGGTGCTTTGTGACTGTTCCTTTGAATTTTACTATTTGTCTCTGCTTATCTCAAAACAGTGTTTAAGCTGATGATTGAAATGTTGCAAAAAATAGAAACTAGATTCATTCATTCATATATCTGAATGTAAGCTACATTATGGGAAAAACTGTTGGAAGAATTGGTAGAGACTTATCTCTCTTCTGTTTTCAAAAGCTGCATACCCAGGAGCTGTGATTTTTTTTTTTTTTTGACACGTGGAGACTATGCAAAGTATTTCTGGATTATGTAGTTAAGTACATCTTAATCTGTAAAAGTAAAAAGAGCCAGAATCCATTAAGTATTTTCAAATATTTAGGACTTTAAATATTATTAAAAATCTTTAAAAAATTGACAGGGAAATACTTGAAAATGAAAAATATCTGAATTTTTCCATAAAAGTGATATAATCACTTGTAAGTGAATCATCAGCAGTAAAACTGTTTCTTGATAACATTTAACATTCGTTTGTTGTCTTTATCCTTAATAAGAAATTCAAACTAACAAATAAAGCAGCTGAACCTTGGTAAGTGTTTGTTACTATAGGTCGTGTTTTCACCAGTAATAATTAGCTTTTTAAAAATTAAAATGTCTACTAATATCCTCTCTTTCTTCCTCAGGGAATTGCTCCAAAGCTGGAATTTTCTACAACCTCAGTGATTACCGAATGTCTGATAAGTTCAAGGAAGTGCCACACTCAGGTTAAAATCATTTATTTAAAATATCTAATGGTTTAATTTATTTGTATTTATTGGGCATTTGGCAAGCATTATTCTTTTATTTTGGCTACAACTCTTTTCACATTTTTTTGATCAGTCTCTAGTTTAAGTAAAACAATTATTAACATGTAACCAAACAGCTAAATACCTAAGATAAGTGTGGAAGTGAAAAGCTTGGTGTACGTGGTAGATGGTACTTTTTTTTTTTTTAATGGAAAGAAATTAGGCTGCCAGAAAGATGTTGGTTTCAAAAAGTTCCACAGAGAACTTGATTGGAGGCTTCTATGAATCTTAAAGAAGTTAAAGTTCAAAGGATACATTTTTAGCGAATGAGACCAGAGGTTCTCAGGCTGGGATATAGGTGGTTAGTGGGTATAGCTTCTTGAGTGTCTCTAATTCCTTAAGGGACTGTTGCTTAGTTTGGTGGCTGTTCTAGTGCTGTCAGATCAAGAGAAGCTTCAATACTTCAGCCTAATAAGTACCTTCTATGTTTGTAAAAACTGCCTTCAGTAAACTCAGATATCTGGATCTAATATTACATTCTGGTCTAACTTCCTACTGAGTCACCAGGATCATCTTGCTACCCTGACCACAGGTTATCTAATAATGTCTAGGTATCACTCATACATATGTGACTGCATTATGACCAGGTAACAGTGGCCAGCCTGTGATGATGAGCCAGTACTATATAAAGCCTAGAGGACCCAAACAGGGCAGAACTGGACCTATGGTGGAAAAAGTAGAATGTTAATTTCCTGCATTATCAGTTTCAGAGGGAATTTGCTCAGGGTGGTAACTTGACAAGCTAACAAAGGTAAAATATGATTGTAAGATTATCAAGGGGATCTTTCTTATTTTGTTTAGCAAGACATTTGGTATGTTAGAGTTTGGCCTAATTATTTATCTTTTAAATGCAAGCTGAAACACTGCTACTAGAGATCTAATGACACGTACTTGCCAAATGCAGAGCTGGGTTACTGACTTGTTTGGAGATATGCACTGTGCACATTTGTAAATTGTCAGAAGTGCTTCCTCTGGATTCACAGAAGTTTTCTACCCACACTGGGGTATGCCTTTACTGGGTGGGTAGAAATTTCTTTTTTTGTCAGGAGTGTAGTATACACACAGAAGAGTACACACATTCTAAGTGTACAGCTTAGTGGAAGATTCCTTACTAAGTGTAGAACTTTCACCCCACTAGTAGTTTCATTGGACTAGCAGTTTCCTCTGTAAGCTTTTGGCTAACTTGCCATTTCAATGTTTGTCATTTGTTTTTTGTTGAACAGAGATGTGAGAGAATAGCCTTTGGTGTTATTAAGAAAATATTCTTGAGAATCAGACAGATTTGGGTTCAAGTTCCTCAAAAGACTGGTTTAAAGATTAAATTAGAGAATATATGTGTCTGCACGTAGCATATAATTAATAAATTTTGTGGCTGTTACTGAGGTTATTCGTTTTTTAATTAAGATAATTGAGATATAGAAGACATAGATGAAATATAAGATGAAGACATTGTATGGTAGGCACAACAGAGTATACACTTTTACATTAAAATTCTGAATGGTAACAGCCAGCATTTTAATCTTATTTGATCTTATTTGAGAACATGCTAAATCCACTTTTTTTTCCAAGTGAATATTAGTTACAATTAAAATTTTAATGGCTATAAAACAGCATTTTCAGGTTCAAATACAGTTTAAGAATTAGACAAACCATTTTCGGTTTTTAAGAGAGGAGTGATTGAAATAAACTCTTTAAAATCATTTAGGTTTATAAATATAATGATCTTTATTCCTTTTGGCACATTATTTTCAAATTTTTTGTCACAATTGATGTTTTGCCACCAATTGAATGGACTGAAAAAATAAATATATTATTGGGATTTTCTGGAATATATCTAGTTTTCTATGTAGTCTCTTTTACCTACTGCAAAGTAGAATTTATTAGTAAACAGTTAAATATTACTAGTAACTTTATTAATATGTTTGATAATCTGTATCAGGTAGCTTTTGCTGTGTAACAAGCCACACTAACTTAGTAACTTAAAATAAGATGTTTCTCACAGTTGTGTGGATTGGCTGGGTGGTTCTTTTGGTCTGGGCTGCCTAGGCTAGGGCTGAGTGGTCTAGGAGGGCTTCACTTGCATGTCTGGCAGCTGGCTGACTTCTTGGTGTGAGAGGGACTTTACATTCCTGGCGTTTGGCTTGATTTCAGCTGGGGTGATGGCCACAGACTCTCATCATCTAGCAGGCTAATTTCAGCTCATTCACATGTGGCGGGAAGGTTTTCTGGAGTAAAAGAAGACTAGCACTTTTCAAGTCTCCTTTTGTCACAAGTGCTGTTGTCCTCGTGGCTGATCTAGGGAGCCATTTTGTGTAAAACAGTATGAAACAGCTACTATTTTAAGTTTTCTTGGGCATTAATAGGATGCATTAAGGATTGATTAGGTTAGAAGGTATGAATCTGTGGTAGATACAGCACCGTTTCTAACTTCCTCTAGTGGCATTCAGCATTCAAAAGCTGTAATCAAAAAAGCAGATGGAGTTCCTTTCAGTTTGGTATAAGCAAGAGGTGGGTAAGAAGGAACTTTACAGCATTGCTGAAATAGGTGATGTTGGGTTCATCCGGGTCTAAAGGTAAGAGATCCTAAAAATGTATGAGGATCTGGGGAAAAGAGATCTAGGGGCTGAGGGAGACGAAGAGGACAAGTAACAGATTCAGTGAAAATAAAAGAAGTAGGTTGAGGAAAAGGTTTGGTCAGCAAGGGGTTTTCAGAGTTTAGGGTGCAATGGATCTGTATAATGATAAAATCTAAGATGAAGTAGAAAAAGACAGTTAAAGCTCAGAAATAGGAAGTCTAAGTTCTTGGAAGGATTCATTGCTTGAACATTTTATTAAACCTCAAAGGTTCTTTTCATGTGTTAATAATGCTGCTTCTGTGAGTCAGTGTGATGTCATAGAGATAGGTGAAGTGGGATGAAAAATTCTGAATTACTTGTTGAAGTCATTGAACAAGGTGGGAGAAGGTCCAGGAGCATAGCAAGAGCTAGAGAAGTAAGAAAGATGATGAAATAATATGATGCTGCTGGTCTGTATGAAACTTGTGGACTTATTTTTCTAATCAGGAAACTTTGTTTCCTTGTTTTCCTGTTTTCTTTCCTGTTTAAAAAAAAAAAGTAGTTTCCTACTTTAAAAAATATTTGACTCTTCTCCTATTTCACATTTGTATTTTATTTACTTAGAAATAGATACCCTTAGCAAGTAGGGAGGGGGATTGAGAAAGTAGAGAAGAGGGAAGGTAGGATTGGTGGTTTTTCTTGTTTTTTTTTTTGCGGTACACGGGCCTCTCACTGTTGTGGCCTCTCCCGTTGTGGAGCACAGGTTCCGGATGCGCAGGCTCAGCGGCCATGGCTCACGGGCCCAGCCGCTCCGCGGCATGTGGGATCTTCCCGGACCGGGGCACGAACCCGTGTCCCCTGTATCGGCAGGCGGACTCTCAACCACTGCGCCACCAGGGAAGCCCGGTGGTTTTTTAATGTGATAAAGTTAGCAGGACGTTCAAAGATTCTCAACTGTCCATTTTCTCGAATATTGGAAAGCTTATAAATCTAGACAAAGCTTGAAGAGGTCTTAAATTATTTACTTGTAATCCAACTTTTTTAAGGCAGAGACTATTTGAATAAAGTATCCTAATAACACAAAATATATAGAAATATCATTTGTGTTTAAAATTTTAGAGTGTTAGCCAGTTTTACTAGAAGACAGAGTACTAGTCATTAAAGTTTGTAACGTGTCTTTTGTACATTTTTACTTTTATAAAAATACAGAATTAAGATGTTGTGGTTATCTGTCATTGAATTGTAAAGTTTTAGTTTGGAAGAGATCTTAAAAATCCTAATCACCTTGTATAATCCAAATTATACATTTTATGAAAATATGTATAAAGCTTTTCTTCAGATTTTCACGTTGTGCAAATGTATGTAATCATGATAGTATGAATGAAACGTATAGTTTTCTCCATAAAGATTTTATAATCAACTAATTAGACATGTGTGTTGCTAAGATTACTAAACAAATCCTCTTAAATTATATAGCCAATTATTTGAATACATAATTATAAATGATAAACCAATGTTTGCATTAGTTTTTTAGTATACTGAAAAATAATTGTTTTTACTTTTTTTCTTAGATTTTTCAAATGATTAAATATTGGGCTTTAACTTTGTTAAAGTACTTGTTATACTTAAGAAGTGTGGTACAGTATAGTTTATTAACTACTAGACAGAGTTATTTCGGAGGATATGGATTTGACTTCCCTCAGGATCTACATGGATAAGAGAGACTGATCTAGTTGGCTTTGATAGATTATATGTGCCTTAAATTACTTTTTAAGGTTTTTTCTACCTGTAGTTATATATATATGTATATGTATATGGTTTACCCAAGGGTCATAATATGTATAAAATATATCTCTCCTGACCAAATGAATTTTATTTTTTATGTTTAGGATAAATTTATTCACCATACGGCTCCAGTTGAAAAATCACATGGCAGACTGCAAACCAGAACATCAAGGTCACAAAAGAAAAACTCCAAATCACCTGAGAGAAATAAATATTGCATAAATGCAAAAAACTACGAACAGCCTACAATTTCTTCAAAATCACACTCTCCATCTCCTTACACAAAAAGACGCATGTGTGAGCTATCTGAAGACACTAGGCAGCGGCTGGCGCATTTAAATCTGGGGCCCTATGAATTCAAAAAAGAAACAGATAAACCTCCATTTGTGATTAGACATGTATGTGTTCTCTGAAACATTTCCATTTGAAACTGATCTAATCTGTTCTTCCACTAAAATATTATTCTCAAATTTCTTTCAACTTCTAGCTTATATTAATAATTTTCTTCCCTGAACTGTTAGCCTAGCAATCTAAAATGGAAAATTAACTTGATAAAAGAACATTCTTTTGCAGCCTTTAAACCGGGCAGAGATCAAGCTCCATTATGAATGCCATGTTAAATCCTCTCAGTAGCCATTTCCTTTCCTCTCATACAGTGGACCGTGTAATAACTTTACAAATTGAACTGAGATGTAATTGACATTAGTTCTAAAATGGCAGAGTAGGGTATTAAAAGAAGACCAAGTTTTCTTTGTGGAAAGGAAGACACCCTCCTCCCCCAGCCTTTTAAAAAATTATAATGGAAAAGTAAGTTTCTCTTGAAATTATGTCCCTTGGATAAATCTTATATAATGGATCTTTGAAGTAAATCTTTATTTGATGGGAAGAGGAAGGCCTTTGAAAGAAAGAGTTAACTTCAAGGGTAACATAGTTTCTAATCTTTCTACATGGAAGCCTGTTTTGGTATGGTTTGAGTTTAGAGCTTGTGTCCATATAGTCAAATAGACTCTGGCTAATTTTAAGGGTCTGTAATCAGAATATTTAATAAAAGGCTTTCTCAGGATCTTCATAATTTCTTTAATTTTTATCAAACTATATTACCTTAAAAGTATTTCTTTAAGAAAAGCTTGCAAATTAATAAAAATTGCTTTATATAATAATAAACTTGAAGATTTAAGTGCTTATAGAAGCAAAACAACTTTTTGAGATGTCTATGAAACACTTTCTGACTTTGTCTCTAATGCATTTTTTTCCAAATTTTAAAACGTAAATATCAGTACGAACATGTAAACATGCCCCTGTGATGGTCGAATAGCTTTTTTAACATACGCCACCTAGAAGTTCAGATTTTCTTTGTGATACCTTTAAAAAAAAATTTAGCTGTGCCTTAAGCAATATTTCATTCCATTTTCATATTTTGACTATGAATCCTTTATTATTGTAGCCTAAGTAATAGATTTTTTATTGTAAAAAAGAAAATTTATAATATAATGGACACTTTTAAATGATAATATTTTATTGAGATTATTGTGATTATACTTGTCTTATTCCTATAGAACTCGTTTATAGGTTCTGGTCACATTTTTTTGTTGTTTGAACAATATCCAGATATGTTTACTTGCTTGTTTGACGACAGTTTCAGAATGCCTTTAATTCTGTTTGCTCATAATTGCAAATTAAGTTGAAAAGAAAGGACATGCTAAATTCTAATCTGAAGAAATATTAGCATTTTAATTAAAATGCCTATGTACGAAGATAACCAGGAATATTTTGAGCGTTAGCCACATAAAAGTTGCTTAGGGAAATAACTGCTCTTAAAATGTTTATTATTATGTTCATGTCACTGTTCAAAATAGAATAATTTTAATAATCCTTGGTATAAATCTTCACATTTTTATTTAAATGATTTCCCTTTCAGCTTTCCATTGAACAGAAAGAAATACATACTTCTAAGCTTATAAAATTGCTTACGTTATTGTATAGAACTAGATTTTTTCCAGCTGTATAAATGTATGCCTCTCTCAGCCCCATAGGCATTCATGATTTTAAAAGCACTTAACAAAATTGGTAACCAAACAAAATTTTAATTTGATACATGAATATGCAAAATGTAATACATTTAGGAAAGACATTCTAGTTTTACAAACACTGTATAAAAAGTAATCTTAAAGAATAAGAAGCCATTTCAAGAATCTAACTAGTACTCTCCCAAACTGGCACAACCATCCTATAAGAGTTAAACTGCATTCTTTGCTTTTTTATTTATGCAGAATAGGATTTTTTTCTATTGTGGTAAAATACTCATAACATAAAATTTACCATTTCAACCATTTTAAAGTGTATAATTCAGTGACATCAAGTATATTTATATTGTGGTTCAGCTGTCACCACTATCTAGTTCCAGGACTTTTTCATCACCCTAAGTGGAAACCCCATGCTCATTAAGCATTCACTCCCCATTTCTTTCCCCAGCCCCTGGCAACCACTGATCTGCTCACTATCTCTATGGACATACAGTGTTTGGCTTTTTGTGTCTTTTTTCATTTAGTACAGTGTTTTCTAGTTTCATCCATGTTGTAGCATGTATCAGTACTTGATTCTTTTTATGACTGAATAATCCATTGTACATTTTGTTTATCCATTAATCTGTTGATGGACATTTGGGTTTTCAACTTTTAGTTATGTGAATAGTACTTCTGTGAACATTCATACACAAGTTTTTGTTTGAATACCTGTTTTCATTCCCAACTGCTTTAATACCTAGGAGTGGAATTGCTGGGCCATATGGTAATTCTATGTTTAACTTCTTGAGGAATTGCCAAACTTTCCCACAGTGGTTCCTCCATTTTGTTTCCACCAGCAATGTGTGGTGGTTCCAATTTATCCACATTCTCACCACATTCTCATTTTGTTGTTTTATTTTTATTGTAGCCATCCTGAGGGGTGTGGAGTGGTATCTCATTATGGTTTTGATTTGCATTTCCCTAATGACTAATGATGCTGAGCATCTTTTCACGTGCTTGTTGCCATTTGCATATCTTCTTTGGAGAAATGTCTATTCAAGTCCTTTGCCCATTTTTAATTGAGTTGTTTGCCTTTTTGTTGAATTCAGTTGTAAATTTTCTGTTATATATTTAGGATTCTAGATCCTTATCAGTTACATGATATGCAAATATTTTTTCTCATTCTGTGGCTTGTCTTTTCACATTCCTTTTTTTAAAGTTAAATTTTAAAAAATTGTGGTAAAATATGCACAATATAAAACTTACTATTTTAACCATTTTAAGTGTACATTTTAAAGTGTACACATTAAGTACATTCACGTTGTATAATCATCACCACCATCTATCTCCAGAACATTTTTCATCTTGCTAAACTGAAACTGTACCCGTTAAACAATAACTCCCCATTCCTCTTTCCCTTCAGCCCTGGCAACTACCATTCTACTTTTTGTCTCTATGAATTTGACTATTTTGGGTACCTCATATAAGTGCTACCTAATATATACAGTATTTGTCAGTTTGTGAATTGCTTGTTTCACTTAGCATAAAGTCATCAAGGTTAACTCATGTTACAGCATGTGTCAGAATTTTCTTCCTTATTATGGCTGCATAATCTTTTACATGTATATACCATATTTTGTTTATTCATTCGTCTGTTGATGGACACAGGTTGCTTCTACCTTTTGGCTGTTGTGAATAATACTGCTGTGAAAATAGTATAGAAATATCTATTCAGGGCCCTGGTTTCAGTTCTTTTGGGTATATACCCAGGAGTGGAATTGCTGGATTGTATGACAATCCTATTTTGAGTTTTTTTGAGGCGCCACTATGCTGTTTTCCATAGTGGCTGCACCAATTTACATTCCTACCAAGAGTGCACAAGCGGTTCAATTTCTCCATATCCTTGTCAACACTTGTTACTTTCTGGTTTTTGATAATGGCCATCCTGATGGGGGTAAACTAGAATTTTGATTTGTACTTCCTTTATGATTAGTGATGTTGATTGATTTTCCATGTGCTTATTGGTCATTTGTATATCTTTTGGAGAAATGTCTTCTTAAGTCCTTTGCTCAACTTTTAATTGAGTTTTTTAGATTGAGTTTTAGATGTTTCTTTATATATTCTGGATATTAATGCCTTTTCAGATAATGATTTGCAAATATTTTCTCCTACTACATGGGTTGCCTTTTTACTTGATATTGTCCTTTTATGTACAAAGTTTTTAATTTTGGTAAGTAGAGCTGTCTTTTTTGCACAGATTTATATCATTCTGACTTTTTTTTTGTTAGAAAATGTGGATAACTGTTAATATCTTTTATTACTATACTCAGAATGCTGACTCCTGAACACAGCCAAGTAAAGACACTAAATTCAAAATCTATATGCTAAGGAGATAAGTAGTAAATGGCTAAACTTGTTTCTTAAATGTGGCAAAGTAAGATTTCCCTGTTTTTAACTTTGTAATAGGAAGCAAACTAGGCAATAAAGTAATGGACATTTCAACTATAAATCTGTTCATTTTAGAGTGGATTCAAAATATAATTAAAAATTTCTGGAGTTTAACTTAAATTTTATTTAAAAACAAACAGCAAAATACTCGGCTAAGCTCTGATCTTGGAACATCCTTGAACTGTATAGGCAGTATCATGTTAACTTGATGATAATGTGATCTATGTACCTCAATTGATTTTCTGACTCCATGAGACTGAAAAAAATATTTAAGCTCCGTTTTACATTGAAATCTTCCTTATTCTAGGTTGATCCCCCAAGTCCCAGGGCTGATGCTTTATTTGGATCTTCTGGCAGAGACTGTGAAAGAAATGGATGGTCCAGGCTGCACAATGGTTAGCTACAAGTTATCTCTCTTCATCTGTTTTAGTTCTCTTGGCTACATTCAAGTCTTTGTCTTGGCATCAATTAATAAAAACAGAATCTTGGCTGTATTGGAAAATATGGTATAATGCCACTTTTTACAACTTGTGGGACACCCATGTCGGTACTCTCTAAAAATAGTAGAATTTCTGTGCTGCTATAAACCATCTTCATCTTTGAGATTCAAAACACATATTAGCATATTAAAGGCTATGATACCTTTTAGTAAAAAACAAAACAAAACAAAACAAAACCTTTTGTTTTGCTCAACAATTTCTAAATTTATTTGACCATGAAACCTTTTCCTCTCCTTAACATATATTACTTAGTTTATGGAACAGGCTTTGGGAAACACCGTTGTAAAAAGAGTTCAGGTTTATAGGTTTTGGACATACATTTACACATATATTTGAATACTTTCTCTACCACTTATTTATAAACTGGGCATTCTTGAACAAATCACTTTACTCTGATAATCAGTTTATTGAAGAATGAAGATAACATGATAAATATTACCATGTAAAATGCTCTAGCACACAGGACACTTAATAAGTATCAGCTGTCAAAATAATACTTATTATTTATATTTCTGGAAAGATAATGTCCTTTAGGTTTAGTTTATAATATTTTTTTTTCATTTTTAGGCCTGGTCCTGATGGTTAGATATGTTGTTTCTTAAGTTCAATATGAAGATGATTTTTATGAAGAAGATTAAATAGTATTTTATAATTAGAGATATGTAAGCGTTAATATCTGTAGACTTTAGCTAGTCAGTTCACCAAGTATCCACCAGCAGCCTTTAAGTTAATTTACTGCACACTAAAAAAAAGGCATAGAAAAGTGAGAGTGAAAAAACACAATCAACATGTAGTGAGCTCTGTCTCTTTTTGTTTCTAAACGCTAGTGTATAATCTGTTTTTAAAAATTGGGATATGAAACATTCTTATCTGAGAACATGAAGAGTTTTTGCACATTTATTTTGCTTTTTTAGCACTAACTGGGAGATAAATGGGGTGATCAATAAATCTTTCATACTCAGAATAGCAGATTATATGAAATTAGGAACAGATGTTATACTCTTGGACTTTCCCCTCCAAGGGATGTTTCCCCTCTTGTACTAAATTTATGTACATAGAGTAAATAAGCTTTCAGAACCAGAAAATTGAAAATAGCTTCAATATAGGCATTTCTTTGGAAGATGTTTGTAGAATGCACTTAAATGTCTGATTTCCCTTGACAATTATTATGTATTTGCCAGCAGAACTGTTATAGTTTCTAGTAACTTCTAATCAAAACAGTCAGCTGCCTGTGTAGAGGTACAATCAGAGAGGCCAATAATGAGGTGCTTTTTTTTCTTTTTAATTTGACATAATTTCAGACTTACAGAAAGTTGAGATAGTACAAAGAATTCCCCTACACCGTTTACTCAGAGTCCACAATATTAATATTTTCTTTTCCCTCTTCCTCTCTCTCTTTCTCCTCCCTGCCTCCATCTCTGTGTGAGTGTCTGTGTATAAACTTTTCTTGACAAGGACATTGCCATGGGCTGATATGTGTCCCTCAAAGTTCATATGTTGAGACTCTAACCCCCCAGTGACGTTATCTGGAGACGGGTCATTACCTTTGGGAGGTAATTAGGTGTAGATGAGTTTATGGAGTGGGGTCCTCATGATAGGATTAGTGCCCTTATAAGAAGAGACAGCAGAGGTCTTGCTTTCTCTCTCTCTCATGTAAGGACACAGCCAAAAGGCAGCCATCGTCAAGCCAGAATGAGAGCTCTCACTGGAACCTGGCTGTGCTGGCACCCACATCTCAGACTTCCAGCCTCTAAAACTATGAGAAATAAATGTCTGTGGTTTAAGCCACCTAGTCTATGGTAGATGAGAGCCTGAGGAAACTAATACAGTTGTTTTCTTAATGTGATGCAAGTATCAAAACAGGAAATTAATGATATAATGTTAACTAAGCTATAAACCTAAGTCATATTTTGCCACTTGTTCTAGTAATATCTTTATAGCAAAAGAAATTCCACAACATACATGAGGTTCAGTTGCCATGTCTCTTTCTTTAGTTTTCTTTAATATGGATCAGTTTCTTAGTCTTTCTTTGTGTTTAATGATGTGATAATTTTGAAGAATAAAGGCCAGTTTTTTAATAGATCTCCCTCATTTTGGGTTTGTTTGATTTTTTTTTCCTCATGATTAGATTTATTCATTTTCCCCCAGAATACAACAGAAGTGATGTATTACTCTCAGTGCATCATGTCAGGATGTATGTGATGTTGCTTTGTTACTGGTGATGTTAATTTGCTCACTTGATTAAGATGGTGTCTGCTCGGTTTCTCCAGCATGAAGGTGCTATTTTCTTCCTTCCCTTTGTAATTATGGGAAGATTGAGACTATGTAATTCTCTTCGACTTCGACCCCTTTAGCATACATTGATGATTCTTGCCCGAAACAATTTATTACAGTGATGTTTACCAAATATTTTTTTAAGTTCTATTTTTCTTTATACATTTATTATTTGCCTTCTACTATAAAGAGTTTTCCCTTCTCATTTCTCTAATTTTAATGCCCCTGTTCTTTGGACTACTTTTTTTTTTTTTCTTCTGGTTGGCAGTTGAGCAATTGTGCTTTGGGTTCTTATCAGCTATTTAAATACATATGTGAATTTCTTATGATAGAATATCTTACACATAGTGAATTTTCACTTATGACTATCTTTAATGAAAATTCTTCTTGAACATTTTCTTACCAAAGTATCTTGCCTAAAAATTCTTAAGTTCCTATAGGTTACCATTTTCACCAACATTGATTTATTTAGTCCTCATAATAATGTGAAGATGGATGTAGCTATATTTGATCAGGAAGAGTGACAGAGGCTTAGAGAGGTTACGTGATATGTTGGAGAGCTACAGAATAGCCGTGTACAGTGTAGAACCCAGGTCTTCTAACCCCAACTTCCTTTCTTTTCCACCGCTCTCCTACCACTTTTCCTACTTTCATTTAGGTGTATTTTTTTAAATAAAATTTTCAAATTTTCTCTGTCTGGAATTTCCTTGATATATAATTCTAATTGTAATTTGTGCAGTCCTTTTGAAGAAACTCAGTATCTCTTACACCTCAAGAATATATGGAAGCTTTATCCAATCATTTGTGCATTTTAAAGAGGAAATCAAGTGCAACATCTTGGCCTTTTTCAATTTTGCTTAGGATTTAGGAAAGATATGAGACTCTGTCTCCCCCTTGGAGGAAACGTCTCTTATTCTCTTCATTTGAAGATTCTGTTGTGAGTTTCAATTCTACACAAGACTGTAATCTTTTATGAGCTTCCACTAGTCCCTTTGTTAGATGGTTATTATTTTTATGTCAAATAAATTGGAAATAACATCCCAAATCCTAATAGGCCATATCTTGAGTAGACAGCAATAAATGGTAATATTTTATTCTTTTCTGAATAAAATGCATGTAGTCATCATGTATATACTTATCAGCAAAATATCTCATTTGTTTGTGTGCCTCCTTGTTTTACAGAGTGTCATTTTTAGGAACTCCTTTTTTAGTTTCTTTAATTCTCTGTTATTTATAAAACATTTATAACAGCCTTATTGAGGTATAATTTATATATCATAAAATTCACGTGTTATAAGTTTACAATTAAATAATTTTTAATAAATTTGCACAGTTGTGAAATCACTAATATCTATTTTTAGAATAAAAGGGAGAGAGAGCATGAGTGAATGAGTGAGCACACCAGAGCTCAAGTGCAAGATCTGACTGTCTCTTCTTATAAGGGCACTCTCTCCATTATGAAGCCCCACCCTCATGACCTCATCTAACCCTAATTACCACCTAAGGGTCTCATTTCCAAATACCATCACTTTGAGAGGTAGGGCTTCAACATATGAATTTTGGGAGGACACAAATACTCAGTTTTTAACAATGATTTCATGAGATTATTGGAGAATCAAATAATAACTAATATTATGTTTTCTGCTAGCCACTATTCTAAATGCTTAATATTTCATTGATTAATTACTCGCAGTAACCTCAAGAATTTTAGATGCTGTTATTTATCCTCATTTTACAGATGAAGAAATCTGAGATTTAAGGAAGTAGAGTAAGTTGTTCAAGGTCGTGCATGCACGCGCGCGCGCGCACACACACACACACACACACACACACGATCTAAATTAGCTCTTTTTCTTCATACTTTTCTTAAGTGTGACCCATTCATTAAGGCCCAGCTCAACTTTTTCCTCCTTTAGGAAGTTTTTCCTCATGGCCTTCAACTTTGAGAGATCTATCTCTGATATGACTTTTTAATAGCATTAATTGCCTATACCATTCTGATTTAGCCTGTTCTTTTATGCTGCTGTTATTCAACTTCGTAAAACTTAACTAAAGTAAATTATAAGCACTTCCCGACCATGGGCAGTGACTTTTATCTCCTCTATCTCCTGCATTTAGAATATAGTTAAGTACCTAATTGTTGGTAAAGGTGATTAAATGTGAACATTAGGAAACCTCAGATCAAAGTAATAGCTTAATTTATAAAAGTGAAAGAAAATTATATAAATTTGTCTGAATTAGGATAAGTTTATAAATGGTTTGTGGAGAGCAGGAGACATTCCTGTGTTTTAATATATTGACATTTTGAATATTACATTAGCTACCAAAAAGAATATATATTATGTATAGAAACTATTACCTTAATTTTCAAAGTTAGCATGTTTGGAGAATTAGACTCAGTGTGTCCTTATCATTCTTTTATTTCTTCTGCTACTTGTGGCCACGTTGTACATTAGACTTTACAGAAGAGGAGTTAGGTTGGGAGTTAGTTTTATTTTGAATTTTGAAAAGCAGTTGAAGTAAGTTGGACCTTACTGAATTAAATGGTGAAGTTGACCTTGTGTGAAAGACATTAATGCTTCAGCTGCCCTCTATAATGGCTCAGGACACTTGGAGAACAAACATCTTGTGCTATAAATGAAAGCTAATTGACTAAATATAGACTATCCTGGGTCTCTATCCATATAGCATTTTTTTTTCTGTACAAGGTGGTTTGGGAAGGTAAAATATAGAATGTTAGAATGTTTTTGACTGGAATGTGTTAGTAAAGAAGTAGAATTGCAAATTATGGTTCTGATTTTCTTATCTATCAATATAACAGAGATTATAATACTTAAAACTTGACTCCTTCAAGTAATGAGTAAAACCCCAAATCTGCATCTACAATGTAGTGGTCTTTGGCTTAGGGAGAGATTGGGAATAGCTTTATAGTCCACTGTTGTAGATGCTATGCTAGGTACCTTATAATTTAATCATCACTATAACTCTCTGAGGTAAGGTAAGCATTGTCTTCATACTCTTAAAATGAGGAATGAAAAACAGATTAATTGTATAACTGGACCAAACTAACATGTATGATAAGTAGTGGAAGTTGAACCTGGCCTTGTTTGACTTAGTATTCAATAGTAATGATGTTGATAATGCTGGTAGTAATAATAGTTAACATTTATTGTATTGCCTTACATGTAATATCTAATGTAATCTTTAAAACAATATTACGAAAGAGGTACATTAGACCAGTGGTCCCCAACCTTTTTGGCATCAGGGACTGGTTTCGTGGAAGACAGTTTTTCCACTGTGGGGGTGGTGGTGGGGTGGGGAAGGGGGATGGTTCAGGCGGTAATGGGGAGCAGTAGGGAGTGGCAGATGAAGCTTTGCTCACTCACCCGCTGCTCGCCCCTCCTGCTGTGCGGCCTGGTTCCTAACAGGCCAAGGACCGCTATCAGTCTGTGACCTGGGGCTTGGGGACCCCTGCATTAGAAAATTGAGGAATCTGAGACTAGAAAGATTAGATAATATGCCCAGGGCCATATTGGAAGTGCTGGAGCCTGAACTGTAATGCACATCTATTTGTCAGCAAGATCTGTACACTACAGGACAGTATGCTCCCGCCCTCTAAAGCTGGTCCTGTTTCCATTACGCTTACTTAATTCAAGCATGGACTCCAAGATTAGGAACACATGTAGTCTGGCAGTATCTATCAAATCTATATATTCAAATTATATTTCATCATAAACTGGTTTGTCAACTAAAAATCATCTATTTCATGTAGACAGATTGGTTTATCAACTAAAAATTAATCTGGCCTGTATCAGATATCTCCTCCTCTAATGAAAATATGATTTGAAATCACTTAATTGCTGAAGAACTGATACAGATTTTAACTTGTTGCTTATCATCTTTGTAACATTATGGAAGGATTTTTGAGATATTTCTGAAAACTGCTGTATGAAGTATAATCGTAGAAACAGTGATTGTAGGAAAAATCAAAGATGAAAACAAATTTCTTCTTTTTGATAGGAAATATTTATAGTTTCTTTTGTACATCCTTTTTTAGATCATTCTCATCTTCGCTGCTACCGACCCAAGGATTATAAGGTATGTAGTATAAATTGCAGAACAATAATTATCCTGGCTTTCAGATTAGAGCATTAGTAAATTTCTTATATGTATGGTCAGATATTATCATATTCATTCAGTCAAGAAATTTACAAACAATAATTCTCATATTATGGAATGTCATTATTTTGTGTATGTTGTCAGGTGGTAGGATAGACTTTTCATTGAGTGTCTTGCTACAAATGTTTTGTGACTTTTGATTGTTCATTACTTGTTTGTGTATGTGTATATGTGTGTGTGTGTGTCTGTGAGAGAGAGACAGAGACAGAGAGAAATTGGTTGCTACTTTTAGTGATACCTCACACAGTAGTATTTCTAAATTTCAGTCATTCGTAGAGCATCCTCATAATTTTTACAATACCTGCATGTAATTTATGCTGTCTTTTAAAAATTCACCTTGTTTTTATTTATTTCACCAGTGTAAATGAAAAATCAGTATCATATACTTTAAATGGATGATAGCCTTAAAAATACAGCAAAAACAAAACAACGTTACTAAATTCTGGCTAGAAAACTATTGTTTTCCAAAGACTCTGAGACATGTTCTCTTTTTCTTAAAATGAGATAAGCAATGATAGACAGGTATAGGAGACATACCAATAGCTAACTGAAGATTTCTGATTGAAAGAGAATTGAAAAGAAAATATATTTTTTCTTTTGGGATTCAGTACCCTTTTAGTGTATGTCCATGTGCTATATAAAATAATCTTGTGTATCATCTAAATTCATTTTGGGTACCAAACTAAGTTATCTGCTATACCACTAGTAGTTCAGTTCATGTTCTACATTTTGAGAAGTACTGCCCCAGAGTTTTTCTTTTCTGTCCCTAAGTGTAAGCTTCTTAATAAGAAGAGGCATCATAGTTGGGAAAACAAAACAAAACAAAAAACATAGCTTTCCTTATAATACCTTTGTCTATTTACTTGAAAACAATTTATCCCATGCTTACTGGCACTGAACAGTATAGCTCTTTGCCATGCTTTGATTGTGATAAAAGAAATATGGAACAAGCCAAGGCACCATGTGACTAAGGGGCCAGATCTACCAGAGAGTCAGAATCATCAAGGTGGAACTTTATAAAAGTTTATTCCAGGCCTACTAAGTTAAAATTGTTGAGACCGTAGACTAGAAATTTTTATCTTAAACAAGTTTCCAGGTGATTCTTATGCAACTCTTTTGCTATCTATCCAAGGATTGGTATTTGAGAACTACTAGTATAGACGTGGATATAGCACTTGAATAGAACCATTCCTTGTATAGCATTTGTATAGGGTCGTGCCCTTGCTTAAGGCTGTCCCTAGAGGAGTGTGGGCCTGGCATAATTCCCCTGGTGCAGACCTACCCTATTATGTGGAATTTATTCAAACACATACATGGGTACTGATCTGTGTAATATATATGTGCATGCATGCGCAGGCACACACACACATCAAGAAGCATAATGTTTGTTGTCTTGCATGGGGCCCAGGGAAGTTACCTTAGTTGTAATACCTAAGGGTAACTAAGTTATACCTAAGTAATACCTAAGGTAACTAAGTTACCTTAGTTGTAATACCTAAGGGACAAGCCTATCTTCAAGTCATGTTTCACAAGTTTTATTTATTTTCTTCTTTATTTGCATCCTTGTTTTTTTTTTACTAATCTGTAAGTTCCAGAATGGCAAGGATCTTATTGATCTTGCTTATTGACAATTGCTAGATATTGTCTGACGTACGGTGTGGATTCCTAAAATATGTGTTGTGTGAGTGGATTATGAAGAGAAAACAAGTAAACCAAATATACAAAAGTATAGAATGGGGAGAAAAGTATAAAGTTTATAGGACACTAATCTTTATCCTAAGGTAACTATAATCCAATTCTACATTGACTGGTCCATTTAGAGGTAGGTGATATATTTAGAATCCTCTTTTCTAAATGAATTCTTTAAAAGAACTTCACTTCTATTCATCTTTAATATCCACCCACCCTCACCTCTGTATTCTTCACTTTTAGAGTTAGAGTAGAAGTTGATCATTCATACTACCTTTGTAAAGCTGTGCATGGTAAGTGAGCTCACAGGATTATTTCTGTATTGAAGAGGTAGATTTTCACAGAAATACATATGCAGCATTGAACAGTGCTGTCTTTTCTATGAAAAAAATAAAGGGCTATTTTCTTATAGGCATATAGTAACTGGTAGTGGAACACTATAGGATTTCTACAAGAAGAGTTATGAAACTAGGAGTGCTTGCAAAAATTTTTTAGAAAAGTGGGACTTGGCCTGAGTTCTATTGAGAAATATATTCTGCAGAGGCAAGGGAAGAGAGAGAAGAATGTCTTAGGAGGAAAACCACATGAAAAAGCCTTGGAGTTTAGAATAAGTACATTGTCCTGGAGGCAGGGGGGAAACTACTGGTCTGGCTTGAGTGGAGGACGTATATTGAGGGATAATGGCTATTTAACATATTTATTTTCTATTTTTCCTACTTCTTCATACCTATTATATCTGCCGCCTCCTTCTTTAAGATTTCTAGTTACTTGGTCATTAGCTGTTCTTTTGGCCAAAGTCACCTCTCTTCACCCTGGATGCATTATAATCAGCTGTTCTATAAATACAAAGTTCTCAGAAAAAGAACACACCTCTCAACCTGCCTCCCTATATCTTTATTGTTCCCTGTTTCTTTGTCCTTTCATTGCTTGGCATTCAAATGAATGACCCAGTGCAGCCAAAAATTAATTAGTTAATTAAAAAAAAAAAGCCTGGAAATGAATTAAGTCGCTTCTTATATTCCATTGACAAGAACTAGTCACATCTAGAAGCAAGATGAGCAAGGTGGCTAGCAAATAGAGATCCTAGTTAGGCAGCTGTTTTCCACTGAAGAGGGGTCCTAGATTTTAGTAGACCACTGACCATATCTGTCATAGTCTGCCTATCTGCCACCAAATATCCCCTTCTTCCCTCACACAGAACATACTTTTGTCCTCTTCCAGGAAAATCACTTGAAGTTCCATCATTCAAGTTCTACTTGAATCTAGCTTGAAATTCAGGATCTTTGAGTGTTGGATAAGCCAGATCCAGATAGACTCCCTGTGCTCCAGTGACCTGTGAACCAAGACAAGTTACTTCTCCCCTCCCTCACCTTTTCACTCTACCTGAACCTCATTTCTGGTATGTTTTGTTAGAGCAGGGATAGGTTAACTGGAAAAAAATGGTGCTCTTATTTGCAAAAGGGAGAAATAGAGAATGAAGAGCAGTTACTAGTCTACAGCAATGATAAATGCTCCTGGGCAAGCTTTGTGAACCTAACAGGCAGGTGCCCGCTGCCCTGATAGTAGAGGAATGCCCTTTCTTAGACCTTACTCTCCATGGGCCCTGACTCTACCCTGCAGCTGGTTTTTCCATGTCCATTTATTATCCCACATGGCAGTGAGTTATCCTCTCTGCAATGGGTTTGGAGGATTTGATGTCTTGGGACTGCATAGTTTTCTAGCCCACTTCCTGTGGTTAAAAGTTTTGGGGCCTGAGAGCTATTTTATAGACTTAGGCTCTTAAAGGCCAGGTTCTTGATTTCTTAGGCAATATAGACTTAGGCAAGTATCAACTTCTCATTTATTTGCTTGCAGTCAGTTTAATGTTTCAGTAAATACACACAAAGTTGTTTTCTTCCCTCTAAATACAATTCTGAAGTCTGATTTATTTCTTTAGTTCTTATGCCTTTTAATGGCACTTGCCTTGAGGCCCTTTGAAGTAGGCTCAGATGGGAAGTAACCTCCTCAATCTGATTTTTGTCTTAGGATTTCGTTTCTCTGTTTAAAAGTTTTAATGGCCCTTTGTTCAAAGCTCAAAGCCTTTTTCTGGCTTAACCTTCTACATTTTGTGTCCACACGCAGTTGGCACGCACTTTTCCTGGCCCTGAGAGGCCCTCGATTACTAAAATCTTTCATTTCTGCTCTCAAACCAATCTCTCCTGAGCTCGTCATTCTTGAAATCCCTTGCTCAGTATAAGTAAAAGCCAACACACACTACATTTCTTGCCCTTTACAGCTATTTTCCTAGAGATAATAAGCTTGACAGTTATGTGGTCTATCTTCCCAGCTGTTGCAGGCCACAGTTTTATTTTGCTGCTGCATTATTGGATCTTAAATTTTCAATCCTCAAGTATCTATTCCCTTGCTTCCTGCTCCTGACTTACAGGCCAATGCATATTTAGGTCTATGTTAAGACCAGTACAGTAAGATACTGATTTCTGAATTGTTTGGGGTAATGCTATTTGCTCTAGAAATAAACCTACAAACTTCAGAAGGTTAATATAATAGAACTTTAGTTTTTATTCACATAATAGTTAATTTAGGGTGCCTCTAATCTGCGTACTATTTTTCCGTGCAGTGACCCCATTCTGTGCCTTCGCCTTACTCTAGAGCTTTGCTGTCCTCTTCACATGGTGGAAAATGAAGGAGAACCTGAAGAGGCATATCTCTTTCTTAAAAACCTTGGCCTGGAATTGACACATAACATTTTTACCTACACTCTGTTTGCCAAGAACTAATCAGATGGCCACACCTGGATGCAAGGATTGCTTCTCAGCAGTAATTCTGCTCTGGAGGAGGGCAAGATGAATTGTGATGGAAAGCTAATCATTTCTCTGTCACATCTAGAATGCCTTGTCCCTCTCCACTCCCAACTTCTCTCTTACCATTAGGAAAGATGATATGACTGAAACTCTATTATGTTAGAAATAAAAAATTAGCAAAACTAGAAACTATCTCTGCCTGAATTCATGGATATTTCATGATGATGAGGGAGATAGGTAATAATAAAATCACAAAAATCAATATATACTTGGAACTGTGATAAATGTCATGGGGGACCTGCATGCTAGCTTGGACTAGTTATATATTAGGAGGATTTGATCTGGTGAAGGAGAATGGAAAAAGGATCTTGAGGACTGGTGATTGCTCTTGAGCTGAAAGTGAATAAGAATTTACTGTGTGAAAAGGAG